CAGATTCGGGAAGCATGTGTAAAATTGAAATAGAAACAACTTTTTCAAGTAAACTTTTTCGATATTCGAACAAATAAGCCTACTTTCAGAGATTAATTTGAAAAAGTGTCACTTTTGACATGTACCGAAAGTCAGTTGACCCCGATTGAGTAGGCCATTTTTCATCTTTTTTGAAGCAAAACTTAACGTCCAACTCGAATTCCAAAATAAGCCAATAATAAAAGTTTTTCCCATATGATGCCGACTTTATGAATGGCACTGTACATGACGATATGATTCCGAAATATTTTCTTTTTTCAGAAATTTCACTAGATGCTTTCAATGATAAGGTTATGAGATATTGAACACCTCATATTGTTGAATAGTTTGTAGAAGGTATAGGCAATTCTCGATTTGAATTCATTATTCAGTTCAGTCCTGTTTGCTGAGAAACAAATTCAAAAGATGATCAAATGTAAAAAACTTCATGATAATATCGGATAATATCTACATTCGAAAACCTCAGGAATGTGAAATATCGGAGATGCAATCCGTATAATTGAGATGAATATGAGTATGAATATATGAAATCGAATCTTCAAACAGCTTACCCAGAGTCCTGAATCTTGAGGAACTCTCTGGAGGCGGCAGTGTTATCTCTGTATGTTGAAGTGTGATAATCCAAAATCTGTAGACACTCACAAATGATTTAGAAAGGCACCAAAATAAATAAAACTGTTCCACATAACTTTCCCGTGAAACCGGCGTAGCGAAAATATGACGATATATACCAAACCATAAAACTACAGAGTAAAGACGTAACTGATTCTATTCTTTCTTTCGATGTTCCTTCAGGTGTGTTTGCGATTTTAATCGCTCGGTCCGAATACAAAAAGTTAGGTTGTTTTTCACTCATTCCCAGTAGTTTTAGGCAAGGTCGCGAGAAACAATAATATGTTTATTTGAAATTAGGAAAACGGTATTGCATCACCGGAAATAAAATATAAAGAAAGATAATCAATTGCATGAAAACATAAATAACTTTAACTGAAGACTTAATACTTATTGTACCATTTATTGTACCAGTTTTTCAACTGAAGAAGCTACTATGTTACCGAAACATGTCTCGTGATAAGAACTTTGTGGATATCTTATTGTTTGTGAAATTTTTGAATTTACTATGGTTTTACAAAAAATGAAACGAATTATAGTTATGAAGAATCAACTACTATGCTCTGAGCATTTTGACGAACTAATGCTTCACACGAGACCAACGAGACGAAATATGAAGTCTTGTCTCGAGTCTCGTCTAGCAGCCTCCAATCTCGTATTGTCTCGCGTCTCGTACGAGAGTCTCGCAAATGTATCGCAATTTCGCCATGCATAATCTTGTTCCAGTATAGTACGGGATATTTACCTTTACCTTCTTCCTAGGTATAATGTAGAAGTAGGAAGACAAAATCACAACAAAAATAACATTATGTATTGAAAAGTAAGTACCTAATTGGTACATACATACTTATATCATACATCTAAACAAGAAAAAAAAATCATTTGTATTTCAACATCGTGCAGATTCATTATCAAGGCGATTCCGATGTTTTCTTATAGTTATATAACGCAGCCGCTGGGACTGAAGTAGCCGATATGGGAAATTCAGAAGCATGAATTTTCCACCATTGCAATATATCTGTGTTTTTATCACACCGAGGCACAGAATAATCCGACATCCATACTCCTGTCAAAACAAAGTTTTTCCTTATCTTAGACTATTTAGCACAGAATGACTTATTTATAGATTTTTAGGTAATCATTCAATTTGCGATCTGTCGTTATTGCAGAATTGTCTTTATTTTCTGCCGCCATAAGAGATCATGGATTGTGATTTTGAAGTATTTATGAATGAAATGTTTTATGTATCTGTGCTAAATAGTCTGAATTCTTTCTAAATATGTTGTATTAAGAATTAAATTCTCAAGCCTGCAGTCGGCACACAGAAATATTTACCTGCGAGACTCTCGCACGAGACACGAGAAGTCTTGCACGAGACTCGAGACGAGACCAATAAAAGTCTCGTCTCGTCTTGTCTGAGTCTCGTCTCTTGTCTCGAAAACGAGACGAGATCATGCGAGACTCTCGAAAACGAGACTCTCGCGGGCACCACTATGAAGAACAAATAGTTTCTCTGTAAAATGCCTGATTTTTAGCGAAAGTTGAAATGACATCTAAAAATAGAAAATATTGAATTCTGACTGCCGGCCTAGATTAAGACATCGAACAACTTCTTTGATTACCTTTCTGACATAGGTAAGTGTAACTGAAAATCTTCGAAGAAATTTTTCAAAATTTGATAATCATATAGTCGGCTGCCTAAATCTATATCTAATGAAAATAAATACTAAAAACATTACATCGTATAAAAAATACTTTCTTAGATGATGAAATTTTCAGATTAGGAAGTGCACTTCTGAAGCTCAGCTACGAATGACTATAATTTGTTATTACATGTGTCAAGAGCTAGGGGGAGGGGGCACAGCCCCCTTGCCCTGCAGTGGTGGTCCCAATGTACCTGCTTCCCAGAAAGTATATTTTCAACATCGATCAGATTTGCCAACAAGGCATCGTTCGTTTATGTTTGAAAAATGGTTTCCTTTGAGATTTTTTTGAGAAAAAGTGTTACTCTAATACTGAATAAAGTCCAATTTCTGAACGTGGTTTAATTCAGCATAAGCTGGCAAGTATAACAAAAAATGGTCTAGAATTGAAAACAATGAAATCTGATGAATTGATATTTCACGAAAATAATTCACGAGTTGCGAAGATAATTTCTGGTATGGAAGATAAAAGGTGAACGGAATGCAAACTGATGAAAAATAACGGCGAGAATCCTTAGTCAGCTCACTCAGCTTTCATACCCAATGCTTATCATTGATGGTGATCTGATCCATGGATTCCAGTGGCGGCGTTTGGATATTATGCTTCAACAGTGGTTATATACAGTGTGTCCACCTTAAGGACTTACCACCCCTGTAAAATCGTTATCATCCGACCGATTTCAAAAAACCTTTCTTTGTTGAATAGGTATTTGAAATGCCCATCCAACGAGAGAGTGATCTAATTCTTGGACTGTTATCGTGGCCAACTGCGACAAATTTCAATGACCCATATTCCAGAAAGTACTATTAGGGATTTTTTTCCGCCGAACTTGATGATGGATTCTGAATCAGTACCACTTGAAATATACCTGTACCGATTTTCATCATCATGAAACACAGGGTGTCCGAAAAAACGAATAATCATTTTCTTGAAATAGGTGATCAGCAAATGTATTTCTGTGGTTTTTCTAAAAAGAAATTATCTCAAATTATCATTGAGGATTATTTCAAATATACCTGAACCAATTTTCGTCATTTGAATATACAATGTGTCTGAAAAAAAAATTAAAAAGGGTAGGTAAGCAATATTTTTCATCCTGATAATTCTTCACTCAAAATAAAAAGATGAATCAGGATCACTTGGAACATACCTGTACCGATTTTCATCATCATTAAACGGGTGTTCGAAAAATCAAATTAATATTTTTTTGAGTTGATGAAAAAATATTGCCTACTTCTTCATTTTAATTGTCTTCTCGTACACATCGTATTTTTGAATGATGAAAATCGGTACAGATATGTTCAAAGTGATCCTCAATAATAATGTGTCATCAATTCTTCTCAAAAATACCACAATACTACATTTTCTGATCACCTATTAAAAAAAACATAATTCGTTTTTTCGGACACCCTGTGTTTTATGATGATGAAAATCAGTTATGGTGTTTTTCAAGTGATCATGATTCAGAATCCATCATTGTTTTTTGTGAAAAAAAAATCCCTAATAGTACTTTCTCAAATATGGGTCAATAAAGTTGGTCGCAGTTGGCCACGATTACAGTTCATGAGTAAAATCACTCTCTTGTTGGATGGACATTTCAAATACCTATCCAACAAAAAAAGTTTTTTGAAATCGGTCAGATAATAACAATTTTACAGGGGTGGTGAGTCCTTAAGGTGGACACACTGTATGTAACTGACTGTAGATAATAAAAATGTGGGCCTAAAGAAATGTGGGTTAATCAAAATGTAGTCCTAACGTCTTTTCAAAACATTACAATAACAAATGACGTCTCATATATGCAGAACGAAATGAACAACCTATGGAAAACACATCAACGGTCCATTGTCGAAAAAATGATGACATTGTGATTTAATTGATGATTTCATCACATTGGGGAACCTATATTTATTATTTATCGTACAACCAGTACTGTCTCAGTGATCTTTGTGAAACGAATTGTTTCCATTGATTACCCATTGCTATAAAAATAGTGTTCTCCTGATATATATGAATCCATAGGAAACATTCTATTGCACCAGCACAATGAAAATTCTCCTTGTTCCGGTATTTCCTGTCGAGGTTAAACTGAATGCACTCTTCTATGGCATGAATTTTCGCTTGGAAAATACTGGGAAACTGGCCCATCGGTTCGGAATATTTAGTACGAGGCCCAAACACTCCTACTCCACTTTCCTTGGGTGTCTTTGACCCGTCCGTATACCATAATTATGGTATTCTTTCCTAGTGCTTGGATGGACATTGGACAGGCTGTTGACAGGTTATAAAATGTCACTTTTTATAAGTTACTTTTTTCCACGGAAAACTGAACAATCACTTAATTCGCAATTTTTCAAAATCAAATCACAGAATTAGACTGACAGATATTTGATTGCTTCAAAATAATGATAAAGATGCATGCAACGCAGATATTTTTTTTGTTACAAATCGAAATTTCACGTCGATAGTTTTCTGATTTTATCATAATGTGATTTCTACTCGAAAATGGTTTGACCTTTTTCCTCACATAAAAAAAATAATTTTTAGCACACGGTTTTTTGTCAACCGACGTGTAGCGAGCTAAAATCTACTACTGTCTCCCTTGTGTAATAAATAACTATATAATTCGAAGTGTTTTATATAAGTTCTAGGATCCTACGATTTCATCATCGTGGGTGGTGGATCAGCTGGATCAGTATTAGCAAGTCGACTATCGGAAATAAAGAAGTGGAAGATTCTCCTACTAGAAGCTGGAGGTGATGAAACTGCATTTAGCGATATTCCTGGATATGGACCCAATTTAAGATCAATGAACTGGGGATACAACACCACCACTCAGAAAACATGCTGTTTAGGTAAATCATTAGTGAACAGTATAAGTTATGATTCCAATGATTCTACTGATATTTGCTTACAAAATAACCAACAAAATTTCTGCACGAACTTTGACAATATACTACTCCGACGCAGTTAACATCGCAACCTTATTAGAGGGTCTGTAATGCATTTTTGTTTTTATGTCGTGCTAGAAGTGAAAAATCGAATTCACTATGTTGAATGAGTTCAAGTGAAACGTTTCTCACCTGTTCGCAATCTCAAAAACATCGAGGGTGCTTTTTGTAGGACTTTGTATAGATGAGCTCTAGATGAAATGTGGTTCACTTGTTGGCAATCCCAAAAACTTGGGAGTTGTCATTCTGAAGAACGCTCAGATATGATAGAAGCATTCAAAATTGAATACTTCCAGCTGGAAATTATACAAAGTGATTCAAAATTCGCTTTCACTACTTTCAGAATAACGTATATCAAATCTTCTGAAAATTGGCATGTTCCTGTCTTTTCAAACACTTTATTTCCTTCTTGCACTTTTGTTGGCCCAAATTTTATGTTCAAATAGGCAGGATCTTGTAGGCCATTAAAAAAATTATTTCGGAGGTGTGCAGTACTGAAATACTTGGACTCGATCAGGGCCTACTCTATCTTACTCGATCCGTTCTGATGACCATAGAATTTCAGTTAACATTTTTATATTCATCCAACTTTGAGTGGCTGTAGCTCAGTGGCAGTACATTTCAGGATTCACGTTCATATGACGAAAAAGTCTTTTATTTGATCCCATCATACCTACGTCGTTGGAATATTTACATCAAATTTTGAATCACCCTGTATTTCAATAAGGGATCACTTGCAGCAATGCAGCACTGCTGAACTGTTATCTATTGTTTTTTCGAACATATGCAATAACAAGATGAAATTGAAATATGGATGAATAAATGAGTTGATAAAATGTTGATATTCCAAATCATTCAAAGGATCGTTCAATTCATAATATACATCTGTTCTCCAACATTAAAACTAGAGTTCATGATAGTTTTTTTTCCAATACGCACTCATTCATTGGGTATCAGATCTCTCAAAAGAGGCAGCACTTTTCGTAGTATATGCTCCTAGCTGCATTTGAATGACTTCGGAAGATCTGATATACTCTCTGAAATTCTTTGCCAGGCAGAATCTATGAATCTTGACATGAAATTATAGGGTGAATTGTTAATTTCTAAAAATTGTTGTTCTCAAGATATTTTATTATCTCAGTGCATATATTGTTGACAGTTTATTTTTGCCTTGTTGGATTCTAATGTTGTACTATACCATAGCAAGTCCCCTACCTTCGCTATATTCAGATTTGTGAGCAGAATGAGCAAATTTCACTTCGGTTCCTTCAGACAAAATTGAGTTTCGTGATCGGTCAACAATAATACTTCAGTAAGCGAAGTATAGGTACAAAAAAGACGCACCTATATCTGGACTGTAGAGAATGAACATGATATTTTCCATATTATTTTGCTAAACAAGTAGTGGATATAATGAATGAGCAGAGAGTTCCATCTTGTCGAACACATAAAAATTTCATTATTTCAATACGATTCCCACCAGTACGAGTAATTTTCTAGCTGTTGATGTCCTATAATTTACAAGGTGTTTGGTTCACCGACGTATATCTGAAAGATTGTGATAGGTAAAAACATTTCAAATATTTTCATACAAAGTGTTACGAATTTCGAGATATCATCGTGTTATCAAACATTTTATCTGATCTTATCTTGTTATTTTATGAAGTGGAATACGTATTCCATTGATATTGAACACGTAATGGAATCCAAGACTTGAATAATAAATAGAGTGTTCCATTGGAAGAAATCATCGCCGAAGTCATAACTCAATCGTGGAATTCGTGGATAACTTTTTATTTATGAGTATTCCTTCCAAAAGTGGCTAATTGAATATGAAAATCGACTTGTTTCAGGAAATTCCCCTGAAATGGTGAGTTTGGCTATAAATGAGTTTATTCAGTTCTTCACGAAAGCACTGTAGTTTTGTCGCAAATGAAACACAAATCGAAATGTGTCGGAAAATATCAAGTTCATCTTGAGGAAATATATATTTTATTCGTACAGATCCAAGTGAGGATTTCATACAAGATTAAATGAATAGCACGGGTCCCATGGTATATCGACACCAACAAAGCATGTTAGAGCCAATGTATTTCACTTACCCAAAGGGCTTTGATAACTTTTAAACGATTCTTACATATACCACAGTTTATGGAATATCGATATTATAAACTATGTATCAACCAAGATGTCTCATATTGTTTTTCATTTGTAATGCTCATATTGTTCGAATCCCACGAACATCATGTCATGTGATATAATTGATATGATTTGTATATAATCCAAATGATTCGAATTGAAAGCATCTGATCATCTATTGATAGACTCGAACAAACAAGAAAAATAGAAACAACCTGGTAATCAAAATTAGATTTGCGTCATCTTACTATTAGATACTCTTATCCCTTGGAGCGCATGAAAGGAAATTTCTATAATGTTCGAAGAACATCGTGCGCACGCGGGAGAGGAGGAGGTTAGTGTTCTCAGTTTTTTTCCCTCGTTGTTTGTGATGAAATCGCCCATTTTTCTTTGGCCGACTTTGATATAAAATAATCTTTTGTGGAAGTCCATAGAAGCACAAAGTGAAATCAAGTATTCTTTACAACTTGAAATTCCTTACGAATTGAGGGATTACGTCGAAACTCAACGAGTCCATAACCATCCAAAGTGGAAAAGAAGAAAAATGAAAGAGAAAATATATTTTCACTATTGAAATGGTGCAAGGTTAATGTTAACAAATTCAGTATTGAAATCATGGCTGAAAACAATATTTTTCAATGACTTCGTCTTTCATGAGAGTTAAATTTGATTTCGTTTATATTGATCTCCAAAAATTTTCCTCCTTTACTCCGGTTGCTGGACGTCGCTGAGCACGAATCATGAACTCATATTTCGAATAATTGTCCCGTCTTCAACACTGATATAATTTTTCTACTCCCTGTAAATTTTCAGGAACCTATGATATATCACAATTTGTAGCCTTGAAACAAACACCTTCAGAGCAAATCAACTTGAGTAGAATGAGCTTAAGAAACGAACAGGCCTAATCTGAATCTACTTGAGAATCAGGTTTGAATCTCACCCGACCATATATTGTGTCATGTCATTCGATTAAATCGAACATTTATTTCAGGAATGCAAAATCAGCAATGCGAGTATACGCGTGGCAAAGTTCTTGGTGGATCAAGTGGAACCAATGCATTGATGTACGTAAGAGGTAGTTATGCAGATTTCGATGAATGGCAAGCTTTAGGGAACTCTGGATGGTCTTATCAAGATGTACTCCCATATTTCAAGAAATCAGAACACATTGATATTAGCGGGTATGATGTTGGATACCATGGCGTTGGTGGACCTCTCCATGTGAACTACACAGTACCACCATCGATAATAGCGGACACTTTTATAGAAGCTTGTAGACAAAAGGGACTGGAAGAGGTAGATTATAATGGTCGAAATCAAATGGGTGTATCAAAGGTTCAGTTCAACATAAATTTCAATAAGAGAGCCAGTGCTTCCCGCGCATTTATAGATCCTATCAAGGGCTCTCGAAAGAACCTGAATATAAAATTGAATACCCTTGTTGTGAAGATTCTAGTGAACGACACAGTTGCATATGGTGTAGAATACATTGAAGGAGGAAAACGATACATTGTTAAAGCGAAAAAAGAAGTAATCCTAGCAGCAGGCAGCATAAATAGTCCCCAGTTGTTATTACTATCTGGACTTGGACCAAAGGCTGAACTATCTACACTGGGTATACGGGTTAAGAATGATTTACCAGCAGTAGGAAAACACTTGAAGGATCACCCGTTTTTCATCAATCTTTTTTTCAGAACTAATCTAACAGCAACGAATCCAACTTTGAGAGAAAATCTCCATAGATATTTGATGGGAGATGCACCCCTTACCAGATATAATGGACTGGAACTCATAGCATTCATTAATACAACAAATCATACGCAAAGTCCTCCAAATATAGAATATATTTTGACACCTCCACCATTGAATCTTCCCTCACACATTTACAACACCAATGACGATTATTCTCAAGTTCTTCAGGGATACAATACAACCACTGATTTTTTTACTGGAGTAATATTGCTGAAACCCAAGTCTGAGGGATCAGTTACTTTACGTACAAATAGTATGTTGGAATTTCCTTTGATCGATGTGAAATATTTTTCTGATCCCGAGGGGCATGATATCGAAACAATGTACCAAGGTATAAAATACTTTGTGAGTTTGACAGAAACACCAGCATTCAAGAAAATAAATGCAACCCTCATAAGTATTCATCCTGGATGTGAAGAACTAAGAAAGAATCCTTTGGATAGAGATTATTGGTACTGTGCAATCAGGCACGCTACTTCAACAATTTATCATCCTGTGGGAACAACAAGGATGGGAAGTTCTTCACGAAACTCTGTTGTGAATAACGAGTGTATAGTGCATAATATGAAAAAATTGAGGGTTGTAGATGCAGGAGTATTACCTGATATTGTGAGGGGACATACTAATGCAGTTACAAATATGATTGCAGAAAAAATATCTGATGTTATCAAGACGCATTATGGAGGAAAATGAATTTTGTTATAATATATCAATCCAACTGTGAAATATTCAAATCATTATTAAATTTGGAATTCTTATAAGTGAAAGAGTAATTACTTATTGAATAACATTCCCTAAATGTTTTCGAAATGAGGAACGATGCCTCGTAAGTAGTTCTTACACTTAGGAAAATCCAGCAGATGCAATCACCACACTTTTGCAGTTTGATAATCGTGGTACTTTTGAATGCGATGATAGTACAATGAACCTCGACATGCAGTTAACCTGACCTCTCTAATAGTACGTGAAATTCAGAATGAGGTTAACAATTTCGGACATCGGGGAGTGGAAATAACCGTAATAATAGTTATTTCTGCAACCGAAACAAAAGTCGTCCATTTTGATACCAAAATCAGCTTCTGAATTGACGTTTCTATTACTGACACGGAAATAGGTATGTTGCTGGGCAATACATTTAGTTCCTAAGAGCTAAAGTTGAACTTCAGTTCCTTGGAGCTAAAGTTGAACTCCAGTTCCTTGGAGCTAAAGTTAAACTTTAGCTGGTAGAAACTGAAAAGGATGTACTAGAAGTCATCAAGAATAAACAACATTGTTATGGTTGGTTATTTGGGTTGGGACACATACCTGATTTGTTCCCGATTTTGACAGATTTGGCATTTTATACCCATGCTGGAGATTTGAATACACCTCAGTACAGTCTTTGAGTATTCACACCAGTGTATATAATCAAGGGAATAGTTGAGTATTTTTGTTTTGATCAGTAAAGCTTTCAAGATTCACATACTTGCTTGATATGTTTTTCATTCGTTATTGGGTAAACGCTCCGCCTCGCAAATGCAAAATCCGCTTGTCAAACGGAGGGTCACTTTTGATCCTACCGAAACAATCTACTATTTACACATGTCAGACAATGAAAACTCCTTCAAATATTTTCTTGGCTCTAGCTACATTGGATACAAAAAAACTCAACATTTGTGAATCTTGGACAAAGTATGGGTAAGTAGGTATGTATGAAAATAATGGAATTTGAATAATCACTCCTAGTTCTCAAGAATTGAGATTATAGGTACATTTTCTGAACGAACAACCATTCTACATACTAGACTATTCAGAGTAACCATACTAAACTACCTATATCTAAACGCAGCTATAGGATGATAGGTACTATAGGTATATGTATGTAGGTAGGTAGGTGTACTATACTCATATACCATGGCGAGATGATATTAGTTTTATTATTACTTATAACAATCATGGACCATTATATGAAATAAGTGGAAACTTGATTATGCAGTTTTGCAGTTCATCGCCATAATATAGGTTATTCATATTATGTATGCATCTGTTCGATTACATTTCGGTTGAGCTTCTATTTTTTCAAATGATTACTAGATTGAGGTGGAAAAATCCATAAAATCTTTAGACAACCCGCCTACGTAGGTACATACAACAATCAAGATCAATTTTCCAATCTTTCCAGGTTCGATATGACTTTTAGTTGATGTGAGGAAAGATTCAACAGTTTTTTTCTTGAGCTTGCCTCCAAAACTATATAGTAGTCAATGGATCATCGTATGAATATTTCGAAATTGATACTCAGTTGACCAAAACATGCAGCAACTTTATCACTGCTGCATTTCAAATGTGCCATGTTTTATCACAGAGATTTTCCCATCAGAAATAATATAGCAAAGATGAATGTCCGCCTCAGATGAAATCACAGACTTATTTCAGTGATGCAACATCAGACTTGAACAAGATATGCTCCTGTGGGATCACAGTGATGAATATGTTTCTACATAGCTCTTTATGTGCTCTGCATTGGCTCCATCCCTAAACCTCAATAAATTTATACTGGTTTCACCAGTACTTGTATCAATTTCAAATGCAACACCAAGATATTCAGGATATATTCATTGAATTTCAATTGAAATTGAAGAATCAGTGAAAATACCACTAAACACATGGAGTGGCACTCAAAACAGTAAAACAAGAGGAGTGAAAATGTGAACTTTATTCCAATCCATAGACAATTTAGTCAACAAACCTCAAAACATCTGTAAAATATAAATATGATCTGTTTTTTTTTCATACTCTATCACATATTTCAGTCTGTGGGATTTTTTTACCTGCAGATTATATATCTTCAATGTGATGCATATAAAAGTGATGATTTATTTTGAAGGAAGATCATTGTTTCGTTTTAATTGGTCCCTCCAAACATTTTTTCATGGAAATCTTCAGTCTAGCTGACTACAACTAGAACAAAATATAATATTTAATCTTCAGTCCAGCTGACTACAACTAGAACAAATGAAATTCAAGTACAGAAAAATTTATAAAAATCAAGTATTCACCTGTCATTATTGTGAAAACCCTCATTTGGCCTAACCAGCTGGTGTTTGCCTGTTCTCATCAGAATGTTGATCAATTTCAACTTGAGGTCTTGCTTGAAGTTGAACCTGATACCTATACTTTTGTATGCTTTCTCTATCGAAATTGATAATTTTCCTTTTCTGCAATATGAATAACCTCACCTCAAATTCTTCGATAGGTTCCTTCGATTTCAGGAAGAGGATAAAGTGAGATATGTTTATTGCAGTTTTGTTGGCATTACAATTGGTCTCTTGAACCCCAGCTGGAATAACTACTCACTTGGTACTGGTACTGATTACTTTATTATATTCACTTACTTCAGCAGAGGGCTTCGAATTCATCTCAAATCTCAGCCCCGATGAATAAGAGAGGATGATGGTGATTTTGGTGAATGATCGCGGATTATTTTCGTTCTGCTGAAGTTCGATAAAAAAATACATTAGATTCGTTTGGTAAACGAGAAACCAGAAAAAGTGAGGTTAGGAAATCACAGCAAAAAAAAGCTCAGAACTTGCTATGACATTGCTCGTGGTTTGTGGTTGTTAAACCACAACTTTGAATTCCACCTACCTCAAACTTTCACAATAACAGATCACAATTTAATGCTAATACTTACCTATAAGCATGAGTTGTATTCTTGATGCAATTTGCATCAGTGCAGTTTCAGAACGGTGTGATACCACAAAGTTTTTGATTGAATGTTATCACGTTGATAGAACGTATGATGAAACGAAGTTCTTCAATTGATTTCCTCTGTGATGACTCTTAGGATGCCTCAATTTTGTCACATTGATAGAACGTATTATGAAACAAAGTTCTTTAATCGATCTCCTTGGTGATCACGCCTGGGATGCCTCAATTTTATCACGTTGATGAAACGTGTGACGACACAAAGTTCTTTCATTGATCCCTTCTGTGATGACTCCTGGGCTGTCTCAATTTTATCACGTTGATAGAACGTGTGATGAAACAAAGTTCTTTCATTGATCCCTTTTGTGATGACGCCTGGGATGCCTCCAATTTATCACATTGATAGAACATGTGATGAAACACTGATTTGTATATAGAAGTAACATGTTATAATTTAGATGCAAGTTGCATATGTTCCAGAACGGTGTGATGAAACAAAGTTCTTTGACTGATCTCTCTTGTGATAGAGCTGAGACATGTGTGGTTAACTGGGTATCTAACATGAATGTATTCCCAATAAATTCAGTGCCAATGGTGCGGCAATCTAGATATGTCATATAAACGAATTAACACAAGTGGTTAATAAGAAGAAACGTAGATCTATTAAACCCCTAGTTATTGGAACATCCGTCGTTACCTTCATCAAGGTAGCACCAAAACGAGCTTTTCTTCATGCATTTGAAATACACCCGGATACAACTGCAGACGATCGTGGGAATACACCAAGTCACAGAACAAAAGACTATATTATAGAATTTCCGGTTACCATTCGCATGTGTATTCTTAAATATTCCAGATTCTGACAATCATGATAATCATGGTAAAACGAATATGACAGTGTATGGAAGTCCACGAGAACGAATATAGGAGTGTATGTGCGTAACATCACAAGTTCCCATGTTTTTTTTTCTCTCAGAGATTCGTAATATATATTTTCCTAAAAAGAAACAATTAACTGTAGTTGAACACTGAACAATATTGTCGCGGAAAGTCAGTTCGAGGAACCTGACGAGACGTTTTCAATACCTACCCGAAATAAATGTTGACAATACGAAATTCGGACATGAGATCTCTTGCACCATGAACAAAGGATCACTCTTGATATTTCAATACCTACCTTTTCTCCCTTTCCACCCCAGAAACGGAGGATGTTCTTCAAACATAAAATAGTGATTCTATTCCGTTCGTCTCAAAGCGATAATATGAATTGAAAATATTAGCTGCAATCCAAAATATGACTTCAACCTTATCGAATTTTGGAATAAATGAACTATAAGATTCCTCAAGCTGTTCAACATCATCTGTTTTTCGCAAATATATTTACAAGCGATTGATGCTTTGGCAAAAAAATCTCCAAAAGATTAATTAGATTTCTCCCATCATTTCAGTGACACTTTGTGAAATAAGATGTTGAAAGGTATCTGAGGAAAAAATTATAAAGAAAATATGTGAAGATGTATTACTCTCCATATCAACTAGAGGTTTCGAAAAACACTCTGTATCCATTATCAACATGGAATTCTTTCGATCAAATGTTTTGTTTTTGGCTTTCTGCAAGAATCTTATGATGACAACGGGAACAGAGTGGTTCCCGAAACTTCCAGTTCATAGAGATATTTATATTTTCCATTTGAAAAAAATCTTCGATCATTTTCGACATCTCTACAAAGTGTACTGACTATTATCCAGTAATTTTCCTCAGGTCCTGAAAATGAATTTTCAAACGCATTGACATTCCGGGGAAAACTCATCCGAGGATGAAAATTGCATCTTCTCGAAGAACATAAACATAGACAGTAAGTAGTATAACTCACATAAATTTTGATGACGTATCGCTCTCATCTGAATTGAAAGTTATCACGACAGGTTCAATATTGGAAGCATCTATGTATATCTCCGTCTCCCATGCCGAAAATATCACTTTTTATGTATGTCGTACATAATTTCTCCAATGCTCCACACCCAGAGCTTCTAACGCCTCTGACCAGACCATTATATCTCCCGAGGTGTAGGATGCTTCCGTCCACGAGCTGCGCGTCATTTATTTTTTTAACATCATTATTATTATTATTTTTATTGTTATTATTATTATTATTATCATTACTTAACACGATTCTGAACATAAAATATATTACTTTGAAGATGATTGAAAGATGATACATGACAGCATTAATTGGTATATATTTAGCAGACTGACAGTGAGAAGAAAGAAAGCAGAGAATATCAATTTTCAAACTCTCATATTTCCAGAATCATCAGAGATTTCGTGATTGAGAACATAAGGATAGGAATTCAAAGGAATGAAACTTTCTATTCAGTTGTGATAACATTTATTATATTCTTTCATTTGGTTCCCTAATAGTACTTAAATAACTAAATGTCACCTACATAATAACACAAATTTCAACCTGCTTCTTCGAATAATCATTTATTTACACTAGTTACATGAACGATGATAAACACTTTTACCTACGGCTTCAGACAAAAGTACATTACTTATATTCATGACCATTTTGAAATAAAGGAAACGTGAGCAATTGTTCAGGTTATTTACATCAACTGAATGAATTCCGTTTATGAAAATTACAATGAATATACTAATAGTGATAATATTCAGGGAATAGCAGAAATAATATTATGAGGAATTATAAGTATTCTTTGATCTCATCATTTCATTCACAAGAAAACAGAAAATAAAAGTTGGACATGGCAAGAAGATTATATAAACTATAAGAAGACAGCAAAATAATAAAATCTATATACAAAATGAATTTAAATAAGACCACAGAATAAAACGTAACAATATATAAGATAAGTTAAGTGAAATAAAGGTGATTTCCTTCCCTATCTCACAAACACAAATAATCTAAAGCTGTTTTTTTGGGAATTACTGGTTCCAAAAACAAAATTATAATACAGAAATTTGTCGACAATTTTTGGTAAAGGGAAGGGATTTTTTTGCAAATAATGCAATAACAATTTCAACCACACTTAAATAATGCACATTTTAGATGAGGGACGTGATGAGACGTGCCTTGAAGTTGACTAATCTTTCACTGGTTTGGGCCAAACGCTGAAAAAATAAAAGATGCAGTTAAAGTTGAGTAGTTCGTGCAGCTATAGCAATATACAGGGTGTTTCATAATTGAATGTCAATATTTGGGGAGGCGATTCTTGCGCCCATTCTAAGAAGAAGGTTTTATATGAACGTATGACCTAAACGTCCGAACTTTTGAGATACAGGGTGCTGAAGTTTTCAAAAATCAATAGTTTTTAATTCATATCTGTAATACCACTAAAGATATTTTAATGAAATTTGGAGTACATACAGTCAGTGTACCACATTTTTCTCGGTTGACACCAGTGGCGTTCGTATGGAATTTCACATATACCTATTTTGGCAGACTTTGGTGATACGCGACTGATTAATCTCGGAATTGGAATCATTCCTGGAATTCACAATCATTTCTGAGCAAATTTGATCACAACAATTATTTCAAACTGATGCATGGTTTTCGTTAAAGAAAATTAAAAGATTTTCACTATTACATGATTATAGCAATATCGTTAATAAGACAATATCACAATGCAGAGAAATGGATTTTATTTCTTAGATCAAATTTCGGAATTTCATAGTTTATGAACTTCTTATTCGTATTGGGTATTTTGGAATATAAACTTCTCATTGTAGTAGGCTATATTAATTTTTGAGAATTTTACCACCCTGTATCACAAAAGTTAGAACGTTTGGGTCATACGTTCATATGAAACTTTCTTCTTAGATTGAGCCCAAGAATTGCCTCCTCGAATATTGACATTCAATTATGGAACACCCTATAAATGATGTGCATTGAGAAACCTGTATAATATTCCACCAGCATCTGCTATACGTTTAATAATAGGAGGACAAGTTCTAATAGACACTGGTTGCAAAATTACGCCCTTATATAGAAACTGAAGTGCCTCTCAAAACGAGGCTCTGGAGATATCTGCCTTATTTGTATGAACTATATATGAACCGCTTCATTTCACCATGAACGTACTGATAATTTTTTTATCTTCACTCAAATATACGAAATAATTGACATTCTCACAGAGAAATGTATACAACAGCTGAATTTTGATCAGATATGAGCCGTTTTTCGCCTAAACTCGAATTGATATTGCATGGCTCAAAAATGCACAATATAGGAAAATACTTGATTGTGACATTTATTGAAATAATTGATGGGTCGATACTTCACCACACTGTAGAAAATTCCTCTGAGTGAATGCATATGTGGTTGTGAGTGAATTTACTGATTGACATTTTTGAGTAAATTCTCAACTCAAACTAGATATTCCATCAAGTTCTCATATCAATGAGAATGTTTATAGAAAATTTGATTGAATCGGTTCATGAATTACCATTTGACACAGTCGAGTACGGTGCAATTTCAACTCAATCGGGCGTGGACCGAAATTGACTCATTATTGCGTGGACCTTGAGTGAAATTTCACTCATTTTTTTTTTCAGTGCATTTCTTCAAGTAATGGTTTTCAATATCATGCAAGATTCAATTCACTCGATTCAATCTATTCACGATTATATTGAGGACTCAAAAGTTGGGTCAAGCCTTCATATTATCACTAGTTGAAGTATGGACATTTTTATTACAACTAGTGCCGATATATTATTTCGACACTGACTGACAAGTGCCCTCAAAAGTACCTAGATACCTATATTCTACTGTGATTAGTGAAAGCGAATTCACATTCATATCCGACGCTAATTGATATGAATCAATAATATATGTGACCATATTTCGCAAGAAAGTTCAATATACAATATCAATAATAATAATAATCAGCTTCATTCTCCTTTCGACATTTACAAGAACCATATAGCAATAGTGAAGACAAGAGAACAAAACAATAAAATATCATTGAATCCTCAAATTGAATAATCTATAAAGGGGTAGTAACATGATGATGCCAAGAATTCATTGAGTTGGCTTTAGAAACAATTAATCTTTACGATAGTCTTCAAATTATTGGTAGTCTTTTGAAAAGCTTCAGTGCTAAAAAAATTGGTGAGTGAGTTTTGCAGAAGGTACATAATAGTTATTTCATTTACTAGGCAGAAAAGTAGTAGATTGACTGCCGCGGCTGCGATAGTTCATTCAGGAATTCAGCCAAGCCAGCCAATCTACATTTGCTGCCGTGTGAAACATAGAATTTTTTCTCCAAATGATATGAAACCAATTCTGTGTAATTATTTTATTGAAACCTCCATCATTCTGTGTTCACCCAATGTCAGTGTCAATTTGATTACTAATTTCATTACAATTTCTCGGAACGTTGCATAGCAACAAACTTTTTCTGCCTAGGCAGTGAAAGTACACCTTTTCTGCCTGTTAAGCGGCAGGAAAAAGGTACTATCCCTGCCGCTTGGAGCAAATAATTATCTTTCTGCCTAATAGTATGATGATTATGAAGGTCGTTATTTGAATTGAGCTTTTCCTTATTCCTCAAAACAAACATACACATTTCAAATAGGTAAATAACAGAGACAGTTATAATTTTGCATTTTTTTCATACCGGTCTACAAGAAGTTCTCCTAGGCATATTGAACATACATCGTATTATTCTCTTTCGGGCTACCAACACAACGATCACTGCTACCGAATTACCCCACAAACTGCTAATCTCAGTCGAGATTCTACTTGAGCAAAGTATAAGTTCGAAAGGGTTGTTATTTACTCGATCGATCTTGAATTGGAAGTGTAGGGCACAAATCCTTTATTCATCTTGAGAAAATATCCTTGATACTCTTATTAAACCAGAAAAAAATGAATGTATGAAATAGATTGAGTCATCAAAATATCATTATTTTGTTTGTTTTTCGTCATACTATTTTCCTTAATTATCTTTTGAGGCACGTTATCTCATATTCAGAATGATTATAGATGAAAGCATTCCATCGGATTCAAACAGAAGGAAAAATCCCACAATCTTCATTCCATGTGGAAAATTGCACAAATAGTCGCTGACAACATAGTAAGGAATAAAAGTACATTATGCCGATTCTGTTTAATGCACTCCTAAATATGAACTCCAAACTTTGTTTACTTTCTTTGAATTCAGCATGGACTGAGGAGAAATGATGATTACAAAATTCAAACATTTTAACTGTTTCGAAGATAATGATAAAGTAGCATCTACAGATGAGCCTCTCTCAAAAGCCATTTTTCAATCCACTCAAACTCACTTCAACTTTTCTGTCATCATTTGACTTGGAAGCAATTGTCAAAGTATTGCACGATGATTATTGGACACACTGTATATCGTAAACATTTTCATCACAAACAATCCGAGAAGAACATGTCTTGACGATAGAGAAACTATCAAGAATTATGAATCCATCTTGAATATATACAGGTGGGAGAAAAAGTGTCTGAAATCGATTGAAAAAGTTCGGAATTCAAAAATCATATTATTCAGCCACCCTGCATCAAAGGGATGAAGAAATATCACACATTTCTCGAATGTTTCTTCACTAAAATCACAAAATCAAGACATATCGATGTTTTCGGCATGCATTCGAAAATGACATTATTGTGACAAAAAATGCAATACTTTCAAGTGATGAGACATGGTCGATAATATTAAAGGGATCGATGAAGGTCACTGGAGAGCTTGCATGCACACAGCATTCCAATAAAAAAATATCCTTGGTTCTCTAAATATTTTGTCTAATTCAAATTCGCCTCTGACTCAAAACTTTCGAGCAATCAAAGGACTCAAGCAATTAGACTTTATTGTCCTATCTTGATATTATTCATTCAATCTCATTTGATTTCCACGAACTAATAAAACTGATGACAAACAATGTGACGAATATTTTGATACACATGATTGAAAGATATGTTTTGGTGGCATATAGTGATTGCTAGATGTTTTTTTATATATTTTGGAGCGCACGAAAAGAAATCCCTATGATGTTCGAGCTAAGGACGATAAGGAGAAAATATTGGTTCAATAGGCTATGGATTTTGATTTAAACTCCGGAAGTTATATGTTCTTGACAAAGAATTCGAAGTTCTGCCATTTTACTGACAAGCGAGCTTTGATCAAGAGTTGTTCGACATATCTCGAGGTTGACAGAAAAAGGATGTGCAGACTGGACTTGAACTGGTCTGACTAGTATTGCTAGTGATGGAATGATTCCTGAGGAACATTTTCAGCCTAAGTATTCTTAGAGAAGTAAAAGATCGGCTACTTTCCTTTGGTTTTCCAATGATGTAATGGAATGAGTCGGTGTTAGGATTTTTGTGCTAGCGGATCTGATAAGCCCACCAGATTTTTTTTTCGACCTAAGTGTCAAGTGTCCCAGTGAATCAGAATTTCTATTCGTGAAATCAATATGGAAATAGGATTTTATATTCGAAATTGATTATATTTTGATATGACTATCAATCCACACTCCTGGTTTCATTGCACCTTCTCCAATATTAATAATCTATATTGATTAGGGGCAATCCTTGAATGTATTCAATGACTCTTCGAGTAGAAGTAACTTTCTGATCTTCTATATTTTTATAAGTACCTAATGTTTATTTCGAGAGAATAATGTGGAGATTTTGATTTTCACCACCTCAAACGTTTCTTGAGGTAATGAAATAGATATCTTCTTCAGTTGGGGGTCACAAAATAGTGTCTTGAAAACCACATTTCATACACAACGACTGCAATCGAAGAAATGTGTTTTTTATAAAGAAAACCGGATAATCAGGACCGCTAGCAAAACAATTAAGAAAATATTCAGCCCAATTTCATCAAGAAATCACAATATGCTACTATATTCCTTATTTGTTTGAAAATATGTTTTTCGTAAAGGAGTCTACATTTCGGCCTCGAATCAAGAATATTTCTCCAACGTGGAACAGATGGATCACCTAATTTTTCATGAGTTTATTCGATTGGAAGACTTACCAGGATCAGATCTTGGACTAGGTTGGCAACACCACGATTGGCAATGACGAATAGTCTTGTGATCGGTCCGGGGATTCCCTCATGGTCCACGCTCTTTTGGACATCGACCTCAGCTACACCTCCTGGGAAATTAGCTTTCTCATCTGATTCTTCTGTTGCTCCAGATCCAGCTACCAACTAGGCAAAAAAAAATCAGATTCACACTATTAGCTGGTCTACTGTGGAAAGTTCAGATGAAACATGGATACTACGAATCTCTCATCCAGGATTCTCAACGAAATCAACAAAGATTGTTACCAACTAATTCGATTATATATCTACGATTTTCTATGATAGTGATCTATATATCACTATTGCGTATTACTAAATCATTTCAATTTTTGTGCGATGATGAGAGATTTTCGTAGAATGATTATCTAAATAAAATGTCTGTATTAGTACTCCCAAACTACATATATATAAAAGATATATCTACTTATACCTAATATGGAAATAATTTACATATCTACAGTAATGTACATTATATAATATTATATAATAATTACATCTGAAGAAACATTGATGGGTAGATGTAGTAACAAATTCATTACATGAATCGCTTATACATGTTGGGAAAATAGACTACAATACTGAATCAACTGAGATTTCTGAAAATTAGAATGAAGTGCTCAAACACAGGATATTTCCCTAGCAGGATTAATAGAAGTTATCCTATTCTGTAGTAAAAAGTCCATGGCATTTCGAAGCAGAGTAAATGGATCAAATAGTAGAGAATCACCTAGTCATCTGCACAATTATTTAATAAACGATTTTAGGAAATGTTTCAAACCTATATAGATCACCTTCAGCTAAGGTCGAAAATTATGGAGAAGACAAAAATTCACATTATTATTTCATGTTGATACCACATGGTGAAACAAGAATGATTATATATTATATACAGAGTGTCCCATCAGTCATGGATCAAGAGAAGTGGGGTGGTAGGGGGGGGGGTCAATTCCCAATCAAACTAACCTTACATGTGGCTATCCAATTGTTGATGTTTCAAAAGAAACTACACTAAAATTATGTCATATTTGTGATTTTTTCTTCTACAAATTTCATTCACATGAATGCACTTTTCCCAGAAAGAATTTCATAACCTGTGTTACTTCGTATCAATCACCTAAGAAAAATGTTATTTTCCTTAAGTTTTGTTATTGAATGGAGAATTCCAGTTGATTCTTGAATGCCGCTGGCAGATTGAAAAAATACACAACCAAGATGATCAATTATAGAAGAAGTTGCCCATTCAATACAGATTCAGAAATAGTATTACATATTATTGGCTTATTGAAAACCTTTTTGATATTAATTTCTTTCAAATGGGTCAAGTTCTTCTGAAATGATTGAATATTTTTTCAACCATCAACAATTCGATAACCACTTATTATACCGTTAATTTGATTACAAATGACCCCTCCTACCTCCCCACTCCTTCTGATTCATGACTTATAGGACACCCTGTATAATAAACAGTTGTGAGAGCTGAAGGCCACTAAAAAAATATTTTGAAGAAGGGAAACCACTGATTTCAATGAAGGACTTCGAAATAACTATCAGATTATTAATAATAATGCTCGACACCCTGTACAACCAGAAGCAACCATTTAATTCAAACATATGACATAATATTGTAGGTACATTGTTTCTTCTCAATGATTTTTGACTTCAAGTGATGATGAACATTATATATAGGTTCAAAACATGTCTTGAAATCGTATAAGATTTTCATTAGGAAATAATTTTGGAGATGACTATGCGTTTTTCTACTATACTCCAGAAGTACTTTCATCAACAGAGTGGAGTATGCATTTCATTGCGATAACATTAAACGTTCACAATTATGAAAATATAATGCATATTACACTGCATTCGTTGTGATATACCAACAATGTCTGATACTGTTGAAGGATTATATAAACCACAATTGCTGGTATAGAGTTTCGAAATGAATTTCTTCTTTGTCAGAACATCATCATGTTCCTACAGATCTACTTACATATCATTATTTAGATTATATTAGAAACATCTCTTTACTTAGTACCAATGGCTAATGCCTGGTTTTTTTTTGAGAACAAGTGTACTCACCATATAAATGGTTTTCTGTTATCAGGATTAAGATTGTTATGTCAATCAACTGTTCTTGTTGAATCTACTAATTGAATTTGTTTGGTGTAAAGGGTTATCCAAATCATGGTGCAAGCACCAGTTGCTTTGCTGTAATTAAGAAGCCAAACTATCAATTTTGACTAGGAGAGAACGTATTATGAGCTTTCTTATCTGAAACTTGAAGTTTGAACAGAAATATAATAGGTGAGGTGTCCAAGTGAAGTGTTAATTCAAATGATGATGGTTCTCTGATGATAACAACAAAGTTACCTATAGTTGAAACCACATTCATATAACCCTTTATAAATTTGACGCCATGAATTGCATTTTCCTTGAAAATCTGGATGATGAATTGACAACATAATATATAGGTACTGTATACCTCACAACATCGTGTTGTAACAAAATAAACACCCTTACATCCCTTTGTGTCAGATATATTTATACCTATCCACCTATTGGCAAAATAAATGCCACAACAAGAATCATATTCTCGATATCATTCGGCAGATTGATAATTAGAGGAGAATTCATTTTCAGTTTCATATCAGTGGATCAGTGGTCTCAATAACAATTTTGAATCGTTTCAAAACATTCGAATAAGTAAATACCTACCTATTTCGTAAAAGAATCTGAGTAATTATTACTCCTGAAAGTTTTTTGATGCTCGATATCTTTCGAATTGTGATATTCAGTGAGGAAGCCCCGAATGAAACTGTGCTACCGTTGGAAGTAGGCGACGTTTGCACGTCAGCAACTGAATAGAACAAAGAATATGAATATGAGTGTTGAAATTCAGTCGAGTGGTGGAATAAGAAATCATACAAATTTTAAATTGCTTGTTATTGTTTCCATTCACGTTGTTATACAGCATTACCTATAAATGAATGTCAAATTGTAACGACTCTCGACTATGTATCGCATTGAATTGCTCCACTGATTGAATTCTTACTTGTCATAAAGAGTTACGGTTAGTTATTCGCTTGTTTATATGTTTCTATTTGCACTGCGGAATTACAAAGAGATCTTTATTGCAAATGACGTAGGTACTTCTATTTATCAGAACTGCAATAACGTACTCCATGATATCATTTCTCATAGTGATTGAACCTTCACGAGGTTTTATAGTAAGTATTTGCTTTGAGTTATTATTTATCGAGTTGAAGTAGATCAGGGTACGTTGTGGCCACGACGTAGGAAATGAAGAATAATGCTATCATGTATCAAATTTGGAAATACCAACACTCCATATATCAACACTCATCTACGGCAACTTTTCCTTATTCTCCATCTAAATCTCTGACAAATGTCGGGATGTATTCACAACAACCTTATAGCTTTCGATATCTATCCGGATTGTTCCATCAGATTTAGCTATGGAAATCTCGCCACAGTTTCAACCAACTATGTCATAGGTTCTCGAAAACACAAAGCATTGGCTGAGCCAGTTTCACACAACTAGAACTAGGATCCCGAAATCCTCTCTTCCTAATACTTGTACGCGTTTTCATTGAATACGACTGTACATACCGATTTTGGCGAATTGATTGAAAATTTGAGATGACTTTATAAAAACTGTGATAGTATGAAGGATATTCTTTCGAATTGGTCGCTATTATCCATATATATTTCTAGAAAAAACACTCATAATCACAAAATTTTCAACTTCAATTTCATTTATTTTCGCTTTAACTAGAGTGATCTAGCGGTGTTATTATGATGAAAATTCATTTCCAAGTATATGATGTGTATACTCCATTCGTCAACTCCTTCGATTTTGAGTTGAAAAAGCAGAAATCTCGAAATTTGACAATTGAATAACAAACACAATACCTACATGAGATATTGTTTAAAAATCTGAATGGGTTTTTTTCAGCTATGCCTGAATTGAATATGCTATTCAGTTTTATCCTAATCGTAACTTTTGACGTAATCATCAAACAATAGTAGGTAGGCCTCGACAATTTCAATATTTCAGATTTGTTCACATTTTTGAAGACAGTTCGTTGAGTTCTACATTGTCGAATTTTTATTTCCGTAAATTGGTCAAGGGATTCCAAATTAGGACGGTATACTAGTTGAAATCACACACACTGTATGAACAAAAACACTGAAACTGATTTTATCACACGCCAGAAAATAAATTCAGTAATTTTTCATCATTTCGAGTTCATTCTTACTATTATCAACAAGAGTGGGTAACCCAAAATATGAGATTTGCAGGTCAGAATCCGAGGGCCTCCTGAGCTTGAGGGCCCCGGGGCCCAGCACCACCTAGCACCTTGGTAGCTACTACGCCACTGATAGAAAAGAAAAGACTAAATATGGTGATATTTAGATAGTGATAAACATGGGTGTTTGTATCATCTTGGAGATATTGAAGTTGAAGTTACGAATTAGGGTATGGTATTAGTTTGGGATAATGAACTAGCTATATTCACCTGAGTGGTGTACAGGTGGTGTGGTTAGTACAGGAACCAAAGTCTTGGGTCCTTATCTTTCAGAGCATGCGAATGCAATCCCTCTTACGTGAGCAATTTTATCGATTACAGAAGTTATGAGGTAGTCGACATTCCAAAAGAAGAAAGCAATGGAAATGACTTGTATTATAAGCTTCCTTCATCTAGGAGGTAACGATAGATCTATGTCGGATATGATATTTCTCTACTATAATCTACGGATGACGAGCAATGGAAAAAAATGTATATCAAATATAGAGTTCCACATAAAAAGCATCATGATCAGACCGACAAAGGAATAATCTTTTACTTATGTTCTGCACCTTTGGCTTCTTTAACAAGAGTAAGCATCAAATTTCGATAATAGGCCTTGGTATTGGCTGATATTGAAAGATTGATAATGAAAAATATTATGTTCTTTTCATTTCTCCGAACATCTTACTGAAAATGGAGACTTTAGAAGTTATCCATCGGTATATCCGATAGTTTATATTTGGGAAATGTTGTGGAAATGACTTAAAGTAATTTTCTATCTCATTCACAATAAGTAATTCCATTTTCTGGAAC